AGGTTTTAATAAAATTTGGCACAGAGATAGCTTACACGTTGGAGATGGATATGGACTACATTTTACTGCAAGAAAATATCTTAACTTCCATGAGAAAATTTGATATAATGCGGGTGAAGCCGTGGGTTGACAGCTAGTGATAAATAGAATAAGTTTTTTTTTACATTTATTACCTTTAAAATACAATTCTAATAATAATGAAAATAACATAAGGTTATTTAATTTTAATGTGACAAGTGTGCACAATTTTCTTTGCACAACTTTGTGAAATCTGGTTGCTTTTTTGGTCAGCTTCAGTCTCGAGTCATCTTTGAGTCGAATTCGGTGACGATGTTTAGTTTTCGTGTTTGTCATGGCCGAAAATGCACTCTCGCAGAGGTATGTTGCGCAAAATGGTAGTAAATATTTTATTGTCACTTCGCTGACATGATAATATTGATAATTGTACAATTAACACAATTTGTGTTAATTGTACAATTTTTGTTTCTCACGTAAGAATTTCATTTAGGTATTGTCACAAATGCATTTTTTTAATGAAATTTCAAGAATATTTTTAGTTATAAATAAACAAATTTGCGCATTCGACATCATTTTGTAAATTGCCGAATTTTTGATGGTCTATCCATTATTTTTTTGATTGCTTCGTCTCGTGCATTTAAATTTTAAATTGACCGATTTTAGATTGCCGCACATACCCCTTCATGCAATTTTGCGTACCCCTGGGGTATGCAAAATTGCATGAAGGGGTATGTGCGGCAATCTAATTGGGAACCATTGGCCTAAATTTAATCATTTACCTTTTGATCAAATTATTTTTTTAATCGTTTATAAACTATATTACAACACAAATGTAATTCTATGATAATTATTTAATTCTTTTAATATCACACAGTTTTTCTTACTTATTTGAAAAGACAATTTTATGGAATTATTGAGATGTATTTAAGATTAGTATATTATTGCAATAATATTTGCTTACACATAAAGAAATTAATTAATTAATTCCTTATTTTAATTTTTATGATAATTTTTTTACAAATAAATCTTTATATTATAATATTCTGATAGTATGAGTTGGAATAAAGCCAGATGATCTGCTGAATTATTGCGCAATCAAATAAAAACAAAATCTTTAAATACTAGTAACAGAACTTTAACATTTACTGGTATTTATTGGTCTTGTTTTTATTTGATTACTCCAGTAAATTGAAAAGGAGATAGTTATAATGAATTATTGGGTTATAATAAGACTAAATTAATTAGATTTGAAGTAATTTGTCTAAAGGTAGACAGTTAAGCTGCCATTCCTCTAGACAAATTGGATTTGTGGAGTTATTTATATATATGTTAGAATAATGTTACTTAATTCTTCCTTATGTGAAAATTATAAATATCAAATAGTTATATAAGAAATGTAACCTATAATTTTACTACATTGTTATTTGGATGGTGTCATCATGACTTGCTAGTCATGTTCATTCTATGAATTCAACAATAAAACTTTTCAAGACATAGTATTTGATATGGAAATAAAATTTGGTTTTAATAAATAATTTAAGATATGAGTAAATGAAGATATGTTAAAAAATGAAAGTTTTGAGTGAATTGATGCTTAAGTTTTTACTATGTAATTATTTTGGTATAAATATATCACAAAATAGTGTTACACTGTTGTTTAATTTTTGAGATGTTTGATGTTTTTATAGGAGACAAATACATCTTCATTCATGCAGGATAACTGGATTTTGAATGATTGTAACATACAGTGTTTATCCAATTACTTTGTTTGAATTGGTTTGAAGAATTTTTATTATTAATCATTAATAATTCCAGTTGCATATTATTTTTCTTGACTAACGTATATTCTGATTAGTTTCTATTATAAACCTTAATTTGATGTAAGAAAATCTTATTATTTGTTAGTTTTTCTGGCTTATCAACTTCCATTTAGTATGTATATTGTTAGATTAATTGTTTTTAAAAATATGTTATAAGAAAAAAATCAACATTATAAATTAATATCATGTAAGAAATCTACAAATCCGAATTATTAAATTTTCTTTGGTAATATTATTATTATTATGAAAAAAAAAACTGCACACGACTCATACTAACTCCAGCACATAATTTAATGGAAGCACAGACATTTTCAGCCACTTTAAAGGGCCTTTATCAGGTGAGATCTTTTTTGTTTTTTTAATATCAAACAAGTTACAAAAATATTTAAAAACAGAACATTCCATATGTGATAAGATGCTATTTCCAAAAATTTTAAATGTCTAAAATACAATTAAACTTCATTAAAAATTTTTGGAAACCTTGTCTGATTACATATTGAATAATTTCTAAACTGCACCATTGCATGTATGGAATTTTTCATTTTTAAATATAGTGGGTGATCGGTTAACGAACATAATTTGTTCTAAGACTTTGTTCACTATCTGAATTGTTTGTTAACCAATTATCGATTTACCATAGGTTTTTATGAGAATTTGATTAATTCATTCTAGAGACTCCAAAAAATAAAATATATATACTTTTTTACTATGTTTATTTATATGTAATAATAAAAATACATATATATACTGTCTTGAATTTTTATTAGTCATGTTTTTTTCCATTTGTGGGGGTTAAAGAAACTGTCTAATGTTGATTGCTTTTCTCTCTTCTTCAGGATTTTTCAGAAGTAATTAATAGCATTGTAATTGTAGAGATCCCCAATCCTATTAACCTCAGCCTGGTTTGGATGCCATTCTAAGACTGTTGTTCTGACATCCTTCCACTCTTTTGAAAGATCTTTAATAGCAGACGTCAGCATTAATCCTCTTTTTCAGAAGAAAACATAGCTGATCTCACTGAGTTTCTTGGTGTTCTTCATTCAAGAGTTCTTGGCATTCTTCTGTCGTCAGGTCCATTTCAGGTTCCATTATGAGCTCTTCAATGTTCTTTATTTCTCAGATGTGAATTTTGTTATGCCTTTAGACATTTGAGTCTTCTTGATTATACTGTATCTGTCTTAGATAAGATTGAACTGCGGCCTATTGTAGACCTGTTCAAGCCATACCACCCAGCAACATCAGACATCTTCTGACCACTCTCTACCTTTGCTATTATACTCTCACTTTTCAAAAATAAAAACCGACAAAAAACTTAATGAGTGCCTGCTTGACAGTCTTGCAAATACTATAAAAAAATTGTTTCTGTCAGAAAAATAAAAGGCTGGAATTACAAGGAAGAGAGAGTTTCAAAGTTTGGAGGAATACTATCCAACCAGTATATACTGAGCATCGATGTTGACATCTCCCATGCTCCGAAAAGTTTTGAATTGTTGCATGAAGACAAGGGAAGACCAATCAGTATTCATTATTTTATGTTGCTTCTTCTTGTGTTTGTTCTGTGGGGTGTTTGTAGTCTGAACTGTTCATTAACCAATCACCCACAGTATTTTTGTAACTTGTTCAATATAAAAAAAATGATTGTCTCACCTGGTGAAGGCCTGAAAACATTTGCGCTTCTATTAATTGTGCTGGAGTAAATATGAGTGGTATGGAGTGTTTTTAATTAATTAACAACTGCTCCAGCTTTTGAGAGTGTTTAGATTTATCATTATAATGTAAACTCTTCTTTTGATATATAAGAATTATACAAAAGTTTTCCATTTACAGCTTTCATTACATACATTGTAAAATTGGCATTATATATAATCTAAATCAAAATTTGTAATAGTATATAAATAAACTGTTATTTTAAATTGAAAACTTTCAGTTTCAAAAACTGTATTTGCATTTTCATTTTAAATGTGTAATTGTTTAATTAATTCAAATAATCAGTCAAATAGAATATTAGAGTTATTAGAATTATACAGAATTAACATATAAGTACAGTATTTTTACAATTGAATTATCTTATGTATTGTTAATTATTGTTTATTGTTATAAATACTGTACATGGTAATGCTATATTAAGCAAGAGATCCCTAAAGAAAACATTAATAAAAAGAACAATCCATAAATAATACATGCATAAAAATTAATACAAAAACACATATATAAAATAAAAAAAATATAATAAAATAATGAAAAGACAAAAATATATTAAAAAATAATGAGTAAAATAAATTATGGAACAGAGTTCTATTTTTCATTACATATAATTTTGTAATGAAACAGTTTTTTAAAAATTCTTCAAATTGGATATAATGTTAATAGCATGAAAATGGAAAGATCATATGAACAAATTAAATTAAAATGAAAGAAAGGAAGAGTGCCACATGAAGTATTCTTGGTAACTCTATTTGGACATCTAAGAGCAATAATTCTATATTTAAGTTAGTTTAGTTAATTATTTAAAATAATAAATTTTAATTATGCCTCTATTTAAAAGTTTAGCAACTTGGAAAGTAAATACATAAATTTAATATTTTGTATTCTCTTTAGCCTCTATGTATATGAATTTCTGTTGATAAAGAAATGAAATATGGGTCTAGTCTGAGAGAAAAGTGTTAAGGAGTGAATATGATTTTTGAAAGACTATGAGAGAAATTTAATGGAGTTATATCAAAACAAAAAACAAACTGCTAAAACATGTAAAACACAATAGCCTTTCTCTTACAGGGCATAAGCTCACAATTTTAATCAACTCTGATTCTGTATGTAAGCAACCACTACAAATTTTTATTCAGTTTACAATCTACCAAAAACCCTCCATAGACTTACGTAATCTAATGCATTAATCTAGCCAGCAGGAACAGGATGAAGCAAAATACTACTGGATTATATAAAGCAAATAAATATATGTATTATAAATTTAAATTACTTATATTTTTATTGCAATTTAAAAAAAAATTGGAAATTTCCATTTTTTTGGCAGTGTTGCTAAACTTTCAAGCAATGGTATAAATTATTAATTTGTATAATTAAAATAGAATTTATGTATAGAAAATAACAATGAAAAGAAGGATTAAACTAAATTATTATTATTTTGTAAAATTTAATGTATAGATATGGAAGAAGAAGAGCAGGACTTAGCTACTACAGTCCTGACTTGTGAGGGAGATATTCATGACCCCACTTTCCCTTTCAAGTTACAGTGCCTCATCTACAAATTGAAGAGGTTAATATCAAATGGTAAGTTATTATTAAATGGTGTCTTAATTACATATTTAAAATTACTATATTTAATGATTTTAAATTTAATATTTTTTTTTATTTCAACTAACTGATACCTAAATGCAAATTCCAGCACATAATAAACAAAGAAATTTTAATGTTCAAACATTTTTGGCTGTCTTTTAGAGGCCCTCATCGGGAATGAATGCACAATAATTTATTTCTTCGTTACTACTAATAGCTTATATATCAAATGCAAAATTCTGTTTGACTCCTGTCCTTTCAATAGTTTCTCTCATAAAGTTTATTATTTTTTGTTTTCTTTTTATTTATGATTATAGGGATGAATATAGGGAAAGAATCTGAGAAATTTCTCCAATATGCTCATTTTTATGTAATTACATTTATATATAAATTTATAACTATTGATAGAAAAATCTTATTGCATACATTTTAGAAAATATATTTGAGGAATACTATATTTTTGTTTTGTAGCTTTCTCATATTAAATTTATCTAAATATTTTATCTTTATACAGAAATATTTTATAGTATAATAATTATTTCAGTTGAATATATTTATATAATAAATTTTCAGAAGAGAAGCCTTTTAAGGTGACAAAAATTGAACCATGGAACAGTGTTAGAGTAACATTTAACATCCCACGTGAAGCTGCACAACGTTTAAGGCAGTTGGCTGAACATGGTGATAGAGTATTAAGAGAATTGGGTATTTTGTCAGTTCAAGTGGAAGGTGATCAGGTAATGTCAACAGTTGACTCCTTTTTATCTTTATTTTCTGTTTTACTCTTTTATAAAGCAGGAAAAAGAAATTTTATAGAGACTGAAGGCAACCAAATTATAATTAGTTAATTATAATTCTTCTAATACTATAGTTATAGTATTAGAAGAATAATACTTAACAGCATTGTTAATTATTACTTTTTTAATACGATATAGTTATATACTGATTATTTGTACTGATATTCTCTGAAACATGCATGTAACTTTTATTACAGTATTTTAACCATAATTTACAAATATCTGATAGTAGTAATAATTCAGTAATAGTAATAAGGTATACCTCAAGTTACATCGGTCTTGATTTTACGTCATTTGTCAAAAAATATATTGAAAAATAAAGATCAAGTTTAAGTCATTTTATTCGACTTTATGTCCGTCCGCCACAAATATTGAAGTCATAATATCATTATAAAAGCGTTAAAGCACATAAAATCATATTAAAATACAGGTAACCCCTGAATAGCATGGGAGTTACATTCCAAAAAATTGCCGTGTTATGCAAATCCATGTTATACAAAACAAAGAACTAGTGCAAAAAGGGGGGTTAGGTTCCAAAAATTAAAAAACATGCTGTTAAATCCTTATTTAAATCAGATTTATTATTTATTTTTTTCATAGGTAAAATACTTATTTATTATTTAAGTAAATATTGTATCAGAGGATTATTCATCCTATATGATGATCTCAGCATGAGCATCATCAACTGGTAACAGTTTTTGGATGCATTCGTTAATAGCGGTAGCTCTGCAACAGGAGTGAGCTGCTGTTTGTAGGCATTTAGGAACGACAGTGAAAGAAAGATGGCAGCGCCCGCACTATTGTTAGTATTGTGATGGAGGAATCTATAATTCTAAAATGAGCTTTTAGAGGCAAAAGAAGGGTCCCAACTGTAAAATTTAACCATTAAATGGATTATTTGTTGAAAGAGCATTCAAAGTAGCCACGAAAACAATTAGAATGTTCGTGCAGAGGTATAAAAGAACGCACCCTTTATTACATTTCATGTATGAGGGTTTTACCCAATTTCCGAACCGTGTTAGAGTGAACCCATGCTATAAAAGCACTGTTGTATGGGGATGTTCCCAATTCACGAACCATGTTAGAGTGAATCCGTGCTTTTATAGCATGGATTACCTGTACATACATTTACAGTAAATGTTAATATAATTATCATAAATCCTAGAGAACGAAACATGAAAACATTTGTGTTTCTGTGTTGTCATCTTATTTAACGGTCTTTAAGTGCTCAATATTGATGTTTTCCATGGTAGCTCCAATACCTACTGTTTGGCATCGTTGTCAGCGCCACTTGATATTGGTAAATTTAATATAAATTAGTTTATTTTCTACTGTCGCAAGATAATTTTAATAACTGTATTTGTTATTTAACCTTACAAAATCATCTTGTTTTATAATGTCTTAGAGCAAACCACATTTACAAATAGAGTCCACGATGTACTGTAAACATCGCCAAATTGTAAACATGTACATTTACAAGTATGTACTGTATGTACATGAATTCGTAAATTTAGATTACTTTTTCTGTACTATACTAAAAATTAAAATTTATTTGTTTGTAAGCTTAAAATAGATTCTTAACCATATATTATTAAAAATTCACTTATAAATAAAATACAAAACTGGGAATGGTTATTTGTGGTTTTGCCTAGTGACAAGTAAAAAGTTAAGTAATTTTTTGACTTAAGTCGCCTCTCCTGGAACCAATTACCGATGTAAGGCGAGATATATTTGTAATGTTCTTATTTGAAATTGTAATAAATCTTTAAAAAAATTATTAAATTTTTGTTTTCTTCAGAAAAATTTATGCTTATCATTACNAAAAAAAAAAAAAAAAAAAAAAAAAAAAAAAAAAAAAAAAAAAAAAAAAAAAAAAAAAAAAAAAAAAACAAAACAAAACAAATTGCAAAACTTGTAAAGTTTTGCAATTTGTTTTACTATTATATTACTGAGTTACTATTATACCATATTTTTGTGGAATGGCTGGCATGCCAGTCTATCCAGGGGAGACCATAAAATCAGATAGTTACTTATGGTAAAAGCCAGCATGCCGGTTTAACTGAGGCTATATATCTTTCTCTAGAGGGTGCATTAAAAAGAACAAATGAGTTTTTATTATAAAACTGTGAAACTCAGCATTACATCAAAAACTATTATTATATGTTTAATTTCTTCATTTTTTCTTCTTTCTAATAACATGTAAAATACTCTTGGAATTCCAAAAGTGTTTTTTTTTATGTGTATTTTATTGTTATTTGATTTAAAAATGCAAAAATAAACATATTAAATTTAAAAATAAACATCTGAGTTTACATCCATTAACACTGGCTTTGTGTGAAATTTGAGAGGAAGGTGTTATTTTTAAGGTCAGGGTAGATGATCAGTGTAGCCCACACTGACTAACCACTACTACTAATGTCAATAAGTCATTAATTCTTTCATTGTCTTGTAAACAAAAACTCTCTTCCTGATTTTAAGTTGGTCAAATTACAATGTTATTATTTTATTGTACTCAGAAGAATGTTTTCTACAATGTTTAATTGACAACTAATTTTGTTAGATCTGATTAATTTTATATTTTAGTCACAGTTTAACTGGCATGTCGATCATTTTGCAAATATATTTGAATGTTACACTATAAGAGTTAATATCTTTAAATTATGAAATTCAATTTAATTATTTTGCATTCAGCTGCTGAAAGATATCACAATTCTGTGATCTTGAAAATTATCTGATTGTAAATATTGATGATAATTCTATTTTTATTAATGTAGCATTACTTTCAAATCATTTTTCAGATATATTTTAAGAAATTATATTTATATGCAAGTTATATAACATCTGAAGGACAAAGTAGTACCAAGATTGTTTATATTTCCAAAATTATGTTGTTTGTTGTCACATAAATAAATAAATATATATAAAAATTTTGTAAAAGGTTTAGATAAATCTTAAGGCTAATGCACACGGGCAACAGACTTAAAATTATAATCAACATCAGTGACTGGTTTCACCAAACATCTCTTTTCTTGGCAATTAGCAAAGATAAGCATTAGTGACAGGCTTAAATGCCTGTCATTGCTGCTTATTGTTAATTTTATTTTGACATTCATGTACATTGGCTTTTACTGTATTTATTGATATCTTGTCATTGATTTATTGTATATAAAAATGTATGTGACCAAAATGGGCAGTTTCCAAAAGGTAGTTTGGCAGATAGAGATTATTCCAACACACTATTCATTGTTATACCAAGAGTAGAAAATGCAGTAAAAAATGTGATAAACAGATTAATTTCTATATAGGTAAATGTCTCTTCAATCCGAACAAAATTTCGGTAGACTTTCTCACAGCTCTACAGGTTAAAAATCTCCTTTATTGTTTTTCACATATGCATTTCGACGAACAAAATTTCGGTAGACTTTCTCACAGCTCTACAGGTTAAAAATCTCCTTTATTGTTTTTCACATATGCATTTTGGGCAAGTTTTATTTTTCCTGCCCCTCTTCAGTGCTACAAAACAAATAGAAATAATATATATTCAGTGCTACAACATATAGAAATAATGAAATACAGTGGTAATAATTTAATAAACATTTCCAATGGCATGCAAATCGACCAGCAATGGTATAACATGATAGGGGGCGCAACAAGTCAATAGTTTATATTTCTAAGATTATACATTGTCGTGTAAATGAAAATTTTATTGTATGTTGAACCTTTTTAAAGTTTATACAACGTATACTATTCTGTTATTGTTGTGACACTTTTAAAGAAAAACATGTATGTATTTTTTAGTAAATATTTTTTAAAGTAAAAAATTTGTTATAAATAAGTGATTTAAAATGTTACTAATAATTATAATTTGTAATTAGTTGTGTAGCATAATGGTACGGATTTCGATGTAAAACACCCTTAAGAGGAAATTATAAATTTGAAAACATTGTAAATTGATAGTACAAGTACTGTAAAAAAGATGAAAGAACATGTGGGAAATCTTAAGGTATTATAAAGTGTCTTTTTATGTCTTGTAAGCATTTTCTACTATAAAGTTGTTTTGTGTAAATTCAATATGAATTTGTTTTGTAGCACTGAAGAGGGGCAGGAAAATTAAACTTGCCCGAAATGCATATGTGAAAAACAATAAAGGAGATTTTTAACCTGTAGAGCTGTGAGAAAGTCTACTGAAATTTTGTTCGGATTGAAGAGACATTTACCTATATAATACGTAATACAGCTACCATTTGAAATTCAATCAAGATTAATTTCTGTATAATTAACTTTGTATCTTTTAAATAATATATGATGATTTTATTTGCATATTTTAATATAGTAGCTCCACATTATATTGCTCATTTGGATATATTGTGCATTTTTGTGTTCAAATATAAAATTTCTTAAAAATTTACTTTCTGTTTTTACTGGCAAAGAAATATTACCTTATTCCAACCATTGGCATTTAAACTATTGTATTTAAACTACTATTGTATGAAATACAATTCACAAAAAAGCATGATAGCAGAAGATTGAAAATAGACAAAAACAGTAGGTAGATACATATTATGCCATCTGATATATTGCTCATTTGGTTTGTCTCCTGATAAGTGCTGAAGGGCTACTGTACTTTTCAATTCTTGATATGATGTAAATTTAAAACTATCTAATAGAGATGAATATTGGAAATATTATCATCATCATCATCATCAAATCAATCTATATTAAGAGAGAATAATTTTGGCCATTATTCATGAACATTATAAAAATATTTAGAAAGTCATTCATATAATTTTACTTATATATTATATATAATAATAATATACAGTAGAGCGTTGTTTATCCGAAAGCCAGTTATCCGAAACATCGGTTAACTGAAAGCATTCCAGTCGACAAATTTAAATTTTTGCTAGTGCTATGGCGCTGCAATCTTTGGCTATATTTTGGGCTACTCCAATATTTTTTTTGTTGTTGTGTGTTTTAGCTGGCAGCACTGGCACTTTTGTGTGGTGTTCTTCTGAGGACTGTGTGTCGTGCTAAATCAAACGTTTTTGATACTAGATCAACTTCTAAAGTATATATTTTTTTGTTTTTATACTTTTCAATATATTTATTTTGTTTGTAAAAAATAAAGGAATAATTTTTAATGATACAATAGCCACGATTATTATTTTAAAAAGTTTACGTTAGGCTTAACATCAACGAAAATTTAACGCAAAGCAACACACAATGGAGAAAAATTTCAACACGGGATAGGTTAATATATTTTTTCATACATAATTTGTTATCCGAAAAATAAGGTATCCGAACAACCCCAGTCCCCAATTGATTTGGATAAACGATGCTCTACTGTATATATTACAATTTTTTTTTTAAATTAACTGCTGTAGTTATTTTAAACAAATTGATTCTTATAATTCAGGGTTAATAATTTGCAATGAAATGCTATTATTCATTAATATTTATGTAGAATTCAAATTTTTAAAACACATTTATTTATTTTAGGTTATCACATTAACTTTGGCTGGACATTATAATGAACCAACAGAAATAGTGTTGAGGAAGACTCCAGAAACAACAAATACTGATAACCGTAATACTTTAGGTTCAGTACCATTTGAGTTATCAGGAAATGAAAGTGTAGCTGTCCCAAAGACTATTGAAGGAAATCCAAAAAATATTGTGCAGTTCCTAACTCAACAAACAGGACTAGCATCAACTTCAGTTGGTGGTCCTTCATCTTCTGGTACCTCAGCTACAACTGTCACTAATGTATCGGATGCAGTAGATTCAATACTGGGAGGACAAGGAACCAGTCAACTAGCTAGTCGTGATGTTGGATTTCGTTCACCAAATGTGGTGGCACCAACAAGCAATGAACCAATTCCTTATTTGGCAGCATCATCTGTGGGGACATCTCGTCTGCCTCAGAATAACTCTACTAGGCCTCAAACTGCTTTTGGTCCTTTTCCGTTTGCCAGTATGACCCATGCTATGAATACAAAGCATGGTGCTGCTCATCATCAACCATTGTTCCACATGCAGGGCAATGCATGCTTTACTTACACTTCACGTTCACAACCATTCCCTACATCCACCTCTACCACAATTAGTCAGACTAATTCAGCTTCATCCAATACCTTGACTTCATCAGCTGCTGTTACTTCACCTCAGGTAGCTGTTAGTTCCATAACACAAAGAACATCTCAGGGCACTACTGCTAATCCAGTTTTTAATAATTTTGTAACTCATGTGTCCACCTCAAATCTGCTTGTGGCTGTTGGAACTACTACTTCCACTACTACTACAACTATCACAAGAGCAAATGTGGCTTTGTCAAGTCCATTGCTTGTTAACTTATTGCAAAGTGATGCACATACCAATAAGATGATGCCACCTCCTGCTCCAGCTGCAAATCAGCCTCCAAAGAGAAAGAGAAAGCCTAGAAGGCCTAAAGATAAATCTCCTGATATTATATCTGTACGAGGAAGTTCCCCAACCACAAATATCTATTCTGGTTTGCCATCACCACCATTGCATCCCTCAGCACCGTCCAGTACATCTTTGCATCCTGTACCAAATGTGTCTTCTTCAGGTTTTGACCCATTGGGAGTTCTAAGTAGTCAGACTTTTAATGTTTCTCTGCCTAACATCCCAAACATTCCTCTTTCACCACCAATGACTCAAGTACCCAATATCCATCCACATGCACAAGGTCAACCTCAAGTACATACAGGCAATTTGCCATTAAGAACAAGAATTCCATTTGGAACTCCTGCTGTTGCAAGACTTCCTACTTCTCTTCATTCTTTAGGTATGGTGACATCACAAGTAAACACTTCACCATTAAATGTTTCAACAGTTGCAACTCCTGCAACTTGCAATGAGTCTAGTCTTAATAAAGAAGCAGAGAAGCCACAAGGAAGTTCAACGCCTGAACCAAATCCTTTTCCCTCACCTCCACCATCAACAGATGGTAAAATCAAACATCTTATTAATCCTTTTACTGGTCAAATGGAACCAATGCCAAGTGATGAAGAGGAAGATGAGTCAATAGGATCATTACCTCCATTTCCAGATTTTGAAGTTGATACACCTGAAAATGGTCAATCTGAAAGAAGTTTATCTGATAATGGCAAGGATCCTTCTGATACTGATTCAGGAATCAGTAAATCTCATACGGATATTTCACAATCATCTACTGATTGGGGAAGTATAGAATCAAACAAAGAAAGTGAAAACAAAGCTGACTCTGCTACAAAAACAGTAAATTTAAATGAAGAATTAAAGCAAGAAAATTCATTATCCACTTCTAGTGGCATGAGTGGAAGTTCTTCTTGTGAAAAATTAAAACTTCGATTGAAGTTGGATACTAAAGCCTTAAGAGACTCAAAAGAGAATGAAAATCGTGAAAAGAAAAGTAAATCTGATATAAGTGGTTTGTGTCAGTCAAGCCATAAAATTGATGTATCAGTTGTTAATATTCCTACTTCTAAGAAGAACAGTACATCAAATAATCCATCTGGGAGTTCAGAACCCAGAGTACCTCCATTACATATTTCTTTAAGAGGGCCAAATGCAGCTGTTGTTGTGAGTCCGAGGAAGGAAATGGGCGTGAAAGAAATTTATGATCCATATTCTTTGGACTCTACAAAAATGGTTTCGTCATCTCAGAAGAAATCTCGTTCTCCTCGTAGTTCTAGATCCTCTGCTGGAGAAATTGCATCTATATGTGCCATGTCTTCTCATTCTCCCAAGAGTTCTGACTGTAATAGTAGAAGAAGTCCAAGGTCTGAGTGTTCAAGAAATTCTCTTCGTGATAAAGAAGATAATGGTAATGTAGATGAATTTTGGAATAAAAATGTAAAAACATTATCTGGTGGTGGTATTGTGCAGATGCCAGAAGATGAATCTGTATCACCAATTGCAGGATGCGATAATATATTTAAGAATACTGTTAATATTACTCCCAAAGAGAAAATAAGCAGTGAAATCAGCTCAGCATCTGTAACTACTCAATCTACAAATATTACACATGTTTCTGATTCTGTTAATACCACCCCCACTATAACAACAGTTGCCTTAATAAAGTCAACACTGCCTGAAAATTCTAGAGTTTCTCCTTCAACTAATGCAACTGTAACAACTTTATCTTCTTCCGAGGTGACAACAGTTATGTCAGGAAAAAGATCTAATGAAAGGACTAGCATTTCAAACTCTTCTAATATTCCAGATGAAGTAGTAAGTTTGGAATCAAATATTGGATATAAACATGACACTCATAATTTCAGCAACAATGCAGTGGTTTCAAAAGTACTGGCTGCTATTTCTGTATCAGCAAGTTATACAAAAATACCATTTCAAACAGATAGGACTAGTGTTACATATGTCATATCACAATCCAATGATTTTCAGAAAACTTCAAATTCAAATATTGAAGTTTCTACATCCCTCAGCCAAAAAATGGAAGATTCATTTACAGGTAAGGGATATAATGTTTTTTTGTTTTTTAATTTAACAAAGATTATTTTAAAAATGAAAAATATACTTAGAGTTGATCATAAAATTTTATAGAAATTTGAATAAATTAATTTAATGAGTCATTTATACATTAGCAAAATCATTTACTATTTATAGTTAAAAATTGAAAGTAATACTGAAATGTTGGTTTTTTCAAAAAATTTATCTGAACATTTACAAAATATTCTGAATGCTAATAAGTTCTGGTACAAATAGAAATGTCTACAATTCAGGTTTATTAAAAGGTAATACAGTAGAGCCTCGAAAACTCGGCACTCGATAACCCGGCACTCCGGATAACTTGGCCACACCCTGGCAGGGAAAAAAAATCCTTAGTTAATTAATTTTCATGATAAAGACAGCTTTATGCCTCAAAGTATTTTTCTGAGGTCTGTTTTATCAGGTAAATTACTGTACAGTGTATTCATTAATTTTCATTTTCATGTAGTAAAGGCTCTATGCCTTCATAAAAGACGTACTTTTCCTTTGTTTAAGGGTATTTGGGCAGTTTATTCTCTGTTGTATTCTCAAGTAAACAATACATACAAGTACAGTACAGTATTTTCTGAGGAAACACTCGTACTTATTTTTTTTAACCCCATTCCCGATAACCCGGCATTTTCACAAACTCGGCCACCCTTTGGTCCACATTAGGCCGAGTTTTCGAGGCTCTACTGTATTATAACATTTTCCTTTTATAACAAATAGGTGATAAGATAGATAATGCATTTCTAATGTTCAAAGTATCCATCACTTGTTTTGATACAGGCCTTCATCCTTGGTCTTTACTCTTTTATGGGAATATGGATGTTTCCATAGGAAAATCAGCCCATTCTTACAGAAGGGATTTTTTGAGAGCATCAACACTTGTATGAGATTAGCACAGATCTTCAGCTCAAACTTTGACCATGTAGAGAAATCACATGGTAACACAATGAATATTGCATTGATTACAAATTATACAATATTGACATAATGAAAATTGCATCAATATTGTATAATTTTGTAATTTTTATGTATGTAATTTAAGTTCTATGCTTGTGTGCTAAAAATGTTTATCTTTCTGCAAAAAGTTGGTGCATATCTGAAATAAATTTTCAAAAAAAAATTGCATGACTTATCATCATAAATAAAATTTGCATTTTTGGATGTCAAAGTGTCTATTAATTATTGCCACATGCTAAAAAATAATTATTTCTTGTATTGCCAGTGACTTTTATTTCTATTAATTAATGTTTTACATCAGGTTTATAATTGTATATGCTATACTATGATGATAATGTGCTTGAAACTAGAAATTACCTTATAAAGAATTTGAAAAATGTTTGAACAGCAAATAGAAAGTGTATGAAAATTTAAATGATGTGCATGTCACAATTGAAGAAATTAAGGCATATTTTGTACCAGGACTTATTAGCATACTGGTTGCATGTATTTTCTCTAAATATGTTATAGTAAATTGAATTTTAATGTTAATATTAAACTACTAGCTTACCCGTCGTGCATTGCTGCGATCTCAGAAGAAAGGAAACTCAAGCAAACTCGTTATGATAAAATTCAGTTTACATTTTATTATTTTTATTGAAACTTATTATTATTATTCATTTTCATTGGGAAAACATTTCAAAGTGTCGTTTCAATTCTATTTATTTATTGGAGTGTTTGTGGATACACGATATTTTTTTGTTTTTCCCTCTGCTGCGTACGCGAATAAATCGGAAGGTTTTTCGACGCATGAGCCGGCCACATACAGTTGTCCATACGAGAAGCACGGATTCTCCAAATTTAGCCCACACACTCGCTGCGATTGTCAGAAGTGCGATATTCCCCATTTTTATATATATTTTTAAATCCTTTATAATTTTAATTATTTAATTGCTCCTTCCTCTCTTCCTTGGCATGTTGTGAAATTTCTGATAGTTAGATAATAAACCGTTTTATTGTAATTTGTCTTTTTAAATTATTTTGAGTCGATATTAAAATTTGAAAAAGGGCGATACCTAGATCGGTAAAATAGGCGAATTTCTTCCTACAACTTCGGTCGTTGTTCGGGGTACAGTTAAGATTTTAACGAAGTTCGAGCGAATACATAATTAGCAAAAAAAGTCGAAATAAAGTGATTAAACAAAAATTATTATAAATATCGTAAATAACAGTTTACAAATGCATATATAGAGATATTTTTTGAAGGGGGGAAATGGTCTTCACAATTTGAAATCGATCGAACACACTGTGCGCGAATGCTCGTGTAAACGCGCGCCATTTATCGTAGGATAAATGTACTTTGCGGGAGTGTATTAAAAAATTAAAAAAACTTTCCAAAGTTTTATGGCAATTGTACTATGCCACAAACCTTCGCCAGAGTATATTAAACAACTTCCCAAAGTTTCACGACAATCGGATAAACGGTGTGGTAATGCATGAAGGACGGACAGACAGACAGACACACACACACACACACACACACATTCATTTTTATATATATAGATTAAAATCACATTTGTTTGCTATACACTAACATTTTCAGTCTGATGCATAGGCCATCCTCAAGTATCATACTTCTGAAACATCAGTTACAAATTGTTCCAAAATAGAATACAATAAATATAGAAGACATTCTAAAAGTATGGCATGTGAGAATGGCCTATACATTAGGCTGAAAACATTACTGTATAACAAATAAATATATAGCCAAAGGTGTTTAGTGATGATTTTAGTAATTATTCTTTCTGCTGAGTATTGGTTCAGTTGTTAATATTAAACATTAAAATTTCATTTTTAGTATTAATTTTCTTTTAATAATTTATAATAAAATAAAATATTGGATTACAAAGTTGAAGAAAGAAATACAATAACCACAATATTACTGGTGTATAGCAGTAATATTGTGGTGATTGTATTTCTTTCTTCAATTTTAAATAAAATTAAATAAATAAGAAATTACCCACAAACCAGCAGTTAATTCTCTTTTAAACAAATGTTTTCATCCATTTTCAACGATCATCATCAGGTTTTGATTTAAATGGAATGTTTGAAAGAATGTAAATTCTAAAAATTTAAAAAGTTTGCATGTCATAAAGATACACGCATACTCAATGTCGTGTATTTTCATATTTTTAAAGCTGGAAGCCAGCTGGAAGACCGACTTTTTAAATGCAACACTGAGCATGTGTGTATCTTCATAACGTGCAAACTTTTTAAATTTTTGGAATTTACATTCTTTTACATTGAAACTTGGTGATGACTGTTGAAAATGGATGGAAATGTTTGTTTAAAAGAGAATTAATTGCTGGTTTGTGAAGAAAGAAGTAATTTATGTTATATTTCATCATAGATAAACATTTTTGATCAAAAGTTCAAGGTTGCATATATGTTTTTAAAATGAACAATCTTACTATATAATAAAAAAATTTAAAAATTCATTTTTCTAACGTTATATTCAATTGAATGTTAAATTTCAATATTTATAAAAAAAATTATAGTTTGAATTTTTGTCATTTCACTGAGGAGGTGTGAGTCAAATGGGACGATAACAAATGTTTAAAATCATAGTAATTCTGTTTTTGTTGGTAAAATTTGAATATTGAGTTGAGCTAAAAATAAAGGAAAACCGGAAAATTAATATACAGAAATACCTGCTGAGGAGGGGCAAATATGTCCGAAATGCAAAATTATGTATGTGTCAAGGTATATGGAATAAAATAAAAATAGTTTTCTGTTAAACTTTATAGCATTATCTGTAAAGCCAGTATAATAAGTCCTGATAATAGAAGATACAAATTTATAGTCGAAAATTTACATTTTGGTAAGAAAAAAGGACATTGAGGCATTTTAATTAATTAATATAATGTAGTTTATAAGAAACAAACTATGTTATTAGTTTGCTTAGCTGTTCATACATGGAAGCATTCCAGATATAATAAAGAATATTAGATGAGTAGAAATATAAAATTATTTTTAGTTATTTTACATTTATTTCATCTCTTTTAGAATATAATATCAAATTTATTGAAAATTATATTATTAAACTTAAAAATATATTTTAATTTTCAGAACTTTCTGATAGTACAAGTCAGAATAAATCAAATAATAGCCATCTACCTCAAGCGCATACTTCTGAATCATTAACTTCATCTGTCAGTATTGAAAATAAGAATTTGATATCATCAACTTGTACTAGTGATTCTACAGATAAGAATAATTCTCAAATAAGTGATGCAACATCATCAAAATTTAATACTGATTTTGATGTTACTGATACTTCATTACAGCAAAATAGTAATTGCAATATTTCTATAAAACTAAATGAAGAAAGAAATGTGCAATCAAATAAATCTCAGAATGTGACAAGATGCATAGTATCGGAAGAAAGTTTACTTAGACAGTCAGAGAATACCTTTTCAGATTCTACAAGTTTAAATTCTGAAATGAGAATAACATCTTCACAAGATAGTATTGATTCTAATAATGTTACTGTTGAGTCTATGAAAGTGGTGAACAGCCCTTCAAGGCAAAATCTTGATAATATAATTACAAAAAGGGCAGATGATAATGTTGATCATTCAAAGAATGAATTATCAACATTATTGAATGATTATTCAGAAAAAAGGACAGAAATGAAGGTGGTTACTTCTATCAATAACACTTTGGAATCTTTGCAGAATTCTTACGTAACTTCATCAAGCAATTCCCAAAATGTTTCATTTAATGAAACATTTGATTTGAAACCAGATGTAATAGCTAATTCTGAACTTACTGAAGATGAAAAGGTTCCTGTTCAACATCAGAATGAAAATAAGTTAATTGAAGAATCTTTTGAAAAATCTGGGAATAATACTAATCATATTGGTGAAAATGCTATCGATGAAATTATAAATAATCATAATGATAAATATCCAAAAACTTGTCAATTGAAATTTTCAGATTTAGAGAATAATCGAGACCTAAGTGATGGTATTTCTGTAGAAATGGAAAATGATCATCCTTCAGAAAATATTTGCTTAATAGATGTAAGGAAAAAATCATCATCACCAGTTGCAAAAATAATATCTGTTGATAGTCTACCTATTCAGTCTGTTTCTAAAGTGATAGAAGTGCCTTCTCTTCATATTTCACAAACTGTGCCAAAGTCAGCTAATAGACTTGGCCTTGCAGGAGAAGTATCATCAATTCCATCTCTCATACCATCACATGGTGATGAATTCCCAAGAAATATTGTAGCTATGCATCAAAGTACTAATGATGATTGCTACCTTTCTGAACCAAATCTGGAATCAGCAACAGATGTTGTACATACTAGATTATTACCAATAACATATTCTTCAGGAACTACTATAAATAGAATTTCTCATATTAATAAGTCAGAATCTGTACATATAAATCATTTGTGTAATAAAACAGATGAGTCTTTACACGAAACAATATTGAAGACAGACACAACTAATAAAAGATCAGATGTAAATGAAAAACAATCAGATGGAAGTAGTGAAGAATCCAGTCTTGATTCAGTAGAAGAATTACGGGAAATAGACAAGGATGATACTGACTCATCTAATTTAGAACATGAAAATAAAGATTGTTCTACTAATAAGGCATCATCATCAGAATCTTCAAACAATGAATCATTAAAAGAAACTGAAGTTGAAAATCCAAGACCAGAAAGAGATAATCCATCAATTCAGCAATTATTGATCTGTGGCAATGAATTTTCAAAAGATAGTAAAATTTCTCAAATCCCATCACATCAGATGAATGAAGCAAAAAATTCCTTATTAGAAGATTTGTCCTCAGATACTATACAAAAGTGCTTAGGTATGTATTTTGTGTATATATTAATTAACTTAATTATTACTTTTTGACTTATTTTATATTTATATAATTTCAATAAAAATGTAAATATCAAAAATATATATATGGAGAGATTCAAATATCAAATTTATTATTATACCTTGCCTTAATTATGTAAGATAATTCAACTTTAATATTCATCTTTTCAAAATATTTTTGCTCATCTTAAATTATAAGAAATTTTTTATGAAAAATGTTTTGCTCTCAATTAACTTTTAAGTTTATTCTGACATGCAATATGTAGCATACCACAATTTCCTGCATATAACCTGCACATTCACACCTATACTTTTTGAAGTTGCCCCTGAAAACATGACACTAGTATGCAATTTAGAAAATATTGCCTCAAAATTCCAAAATGTTCTATTTTTTTTCTTTTGTCTTATTTTTGTTAGCAATTCATTACAGATTAATTATAAAGTAAATGATATGGAAGAAATAAAATATATATATATACATACACACACACCACTGAGTGGTTCATTTACAATGTAACCTGAAAAATATGCACCCAATTAAAATTAAAAAATTGATCAGAGCAAAAGATTTGTTTTCTAGGAACCTTTTCAGTTTCATAAAAACACTCACCACCTGCACCCTAATGGGGGCAGGGAACAAGTTTAGATTTCAAATGGGACCACTTAATTTTTCTGTTTTTGGATTCTTGATTAAAGATTAAATAAGTAAGAAGGATAAAGAAAGTTTTATTTAAAACTTTTTTTTCCAAAAATGTGAATTTCATAAGTTAGGAGCGGTTTTAATCGTATTTTAAAAAAATAATAGTTAAAGAAATGATTTGTTATAATCTTAATTTATTGTAACTAATTAAGACAATTAAATTTCTTAATGATTGATATTTAGATAATTATATAACCAGGATAAGAACTTAAATAATTTTTGTCCAGAATAAGTTTTGATTGCATAAAAAGTTTTCACAGTAATTGTTTTTAATGGAACATATGTTTCATTCTTTCAAAAACATTCTATTTTCATTTGTATCTGTGGTTAAAAGACAATTACTAATGGTTAAATGAGATCCTTAAAAAAATTATGTTTTAAACTAAAATGACAATTCTATTAAATAATTTGATTCTTACATTTAATAAATTAAATAGTTTGAGATAAATAAAAAATTTGAGTATTTATTTTTTGTTGTTTATAATAAATTTGTTCTACTAATGAAGGAAAAAAAATGTTTTTTGAAAATACAAGTAAAAATGCTCAAAACTTTTAAATTTAATATTTTTGTTTAAAATGTTTTAAATAAAACATTATTATTTAATCAAGAATCTGAAAATAGAGTGTCTCGTTTGAAATTCTAAAAGTTATCCTCCATTCCTATAAGGGGGCAGGGGATGACTTAGTTTTATGAAATTGAAAAGGTCACTTGAAAATAACTTTTATTCTGATTAATTTCTTAATTGGATGCATATTTTATGAGATATTTGTCAGGGACATTACAAATAGACTTCACTATAGAACTATATGAAAGTGCATTATAAAGATTTTAAAAAAAGGAAAAGATAAGTGAAAGATAACTATGATCTTAGCCAAGGAATTCATTATAAACAAGAAAACTGATTTTATATGAGATATAGATGTTTTTATGGAACTTTGGGAATTAATCCATTATAATATTAACTTAATTTAGTCATTTTTATTTTACATATATTCCATTTTCAAATACATTACTGTTCTTTGTTTGATTTTATAATTTTATATTGTAGCTCTGATCTGGCTTGGATGTCACGTCAACAGTTAACTCAATTAAAAACTTCAGACTAGGAGGCATTAAAGAGAATTAAAAGAAATATTTTAATCTTGCAAAAACAGAGTTATACAGTCTCTCTTCCCTGCCACCACATTGCGCAGACCAAGGGATTGGACAATGCTCCGTCCCTCACTCCCATACTGTGGATGCTTCACGGCCCTGATCTGCCGGATCTTTAGGCAGAATGGTTTTCGTTTACCTATTGCCCCACGACCATGTCTGTGAAAAATCTTGTGTAGTGATAGAGATGCTACTTCCACCCTGGAAAAATCTGGTGTATACTCCGTTCCCTTGCAGAATCCAATATCAGGACTATGCACCTATTATATAGGAGCGACTATCAGAATGCTGGCTGCTTGTGTATCTGAACACCAACGTTCGGTGGCACTTGGCAATTGCGACACTGAACTTTCCAAATTGGTGATACAACAACACCACATAGTGCTTTGGAATCGGGTGGCAATACTCAAACGCTGTGATGAAGGGAGCTTGCTATATATTTGGGAGGCCCTCCTCACAAAACTGCTCTCCCTGTGCAACTCCCCTACCCTCGACTTACCGGATGTCTGGATTAATTCATACAGGCGTTTAAAAAATCAACAATAATTCTACACTCATTTCCCACACCTCCTATGTGGTTCAATGCATATACGCGTCTGCCTCTTTACATGTGTCTTTTTATATGTTACATGTATTTTATGTATTTTAAGTTATGTCCCACGTTTTTATATTTAAATTTTAATGTAAACTTGCACTTATGGCTCTATTCCGATCGGCTTCTATGCTGTCTTTGTTAAGGTGCATGCGTGCCAAATTTTATACGTGTTTACAAAATGTTTTTAATTTAAAGTCTAAAATTTACTTGTTCTTAATAGCCATTCTAATTGGCTCTTATGTTATGCACGCCAATTTTTCACATTTACAAAAAAGGCTTCTTAATTTCAATTATCTTAATTAATAGCCATTCCAATCGGGGTTTATTTATTTTAAAATGCATGTACGCCAATTTTAAATGTTTTTAATTCTAAAATTTAAATCTTATTTTTTAATAGTTATATTCCAAAAATGGCTTAATATTGTTAATGCTTAAATTTAAATGTTCTGTTCGAATTCTCTATTCGATTTTGAATTGCCTGAAGACGACATACATATTTACATTGAAAGTGCTTGCAAGATTAAAATATTTCTTTTAATTCTCTTTAATGCCTCCTAGGCTGAAGTTTTTAATTGTAGCTCTGATATGTACATTGTCTTGAAAAATTAAATTGTGTAGCAGTTTTTGGTTGTTACTATATTTACTTGAATATAAGATAATCTTGCATATAGTACGAGGTGTGACTTTAAAGATCAAAATAAAGAAAATTAGATTTATTAATACAATTTTAATTTTATGTTGTTTAATCACAAATAAAATATCAAATGAACACATCATATCACACATTGTCTCATAAAAATTACTGGCATTTTAAACTTCAAGGAAAAAATCTTGTAAAATCAGCAACATAATTTGTTCATGTAAAGCTGGACAATCTGGAACCTTTTTTGCCAATTCTTAACAGTCGAATCTACTTTCCATTGATTACACTTATGAGTTTCTCCAAATTCTGATTTCTGAATAATCATCTGTTTTCATGTGGGAATGGATTAAAACTTATATCCAGCTCCCATGTGATTTTGGAATTTCAATTTGGAATTCAATTCAAGAGCTTTGATTTCTCCTATTGCTATTCATCTTTACTTCTGATAATACACAAGAATGATTCAAACAACCCAGATCAAATACTTTTGTTTTTGAACACCAGAAGGTGAGAATTTGATAAAATATGTGAATACACTGTTCACAAAAATGATTGCAAACACGCAAAGAATCTTTCGCTCATCCGCATAAATACAGTATATAGCAGCAGCTTGTGATAAGCACTGGAACTGTAGCCCACACAGAAAAATTAAATTCCAAAATAACGCCTTAATTTTTATTACATAGTAATTATATAAATTATTAGACACAGTTAAAATTAATTTTTTAATCAAACCATTACTGATGAAAACAGTATATAAAATAAAAATGATTCTTAGGTTAGTTGTGTGCCCTCCTGCTACATGTTTAATAGAGCAGCACTATCTTCCACTCAGAAAACAGTTCTAAAATAATTTAAATAAAATAATATTTTGAACAGTTCTATTTGTTCAACTGCCATATCTTGTGATATGATAAAATGCTTGAAACAGTACTGCACTGTTTAGCAGTGCTGTCACAGGAGAGGATGCAGTTAAAAGTATACATGGTTAAAATTAATTTTTTAATTAATTTTAAATGTATATATATGAGGTGTTTGTATATATACGAGGGTATGTATATATGTAGTTCTAGTTCATTAAAATTAATTTTTTAATTAATTTTAATAAACTAGAACTACATATATACAGTCAAACCTATCTATAATGGAATCTCAAGGGACTGAACAACTCTTCCATAGTAGACAGGTTTCTGCTATATACAGGTTGCCTACTATAGTTATAACTTGATTAATGCGATTAATAAATTTCTCAATGTTACCACATATATCAAAATCACATTAATCAAATACAGTTGTACCATGGTACTTGACCGAACAATCACCAATCACTAGAACAAATTTTTTGTTAATAACAAATATTTTTATTTTAACTTTAATTTTTTCATTCATCCATTAAAAAAGTTTTCTAAGATAAAAATGAGTAACCAATTTAAAAATAAAATAAAAATTTACAGCTGTCTACCTTCATCCAGCAAAATTATACTCAATTCAGTTTTTTTTTCACAAGTGAAAAAAACAAACCGGTATGGAACACAATCATCAGCATTTTTATAACCATTTCATGTGGATATAATGTTTCTACAATACATGTCTATGACACACTAAGATTTGTACCAAATTCATGAGTTGTTACTTGTCAATCTTTGCAATTTCTCTTCAACAGCTTTTGGGAGCCCATAAATTTTGTATCCTTTAGTTCAAAATTTCCCAAACAAAACTTTAAAAACCACATTTGACACATTTGGAGTTCCGAAGCATCTTCCCCATACACAGTAAGAGTATTTTTTACTGTTTGTATAGCATGATATCCTTTACGAAACTTAAAAAGCATGCATAATATGCCTGGTGTGCATTTTATCTGCAGACATTTTGACTTAATTTTATTCAAGTGAAATATGATATAGAGAACTTTAAAATAAGCTTCAAAACAAACTGTACAGTCTCCCATAGGAATAATGTGTTAAATTTCACAACTTATAATTACATCACATATTTATGTTAAGTAAAAAACAGCTGTTAATAAAAATATGCAAAAACTTTCCCTTCAAATCCCAATAAAATTACTGTAATACAGTAGTCATATTTTGTATTGGGTATGTGTATTTTTTGACTTTTTTATAATTTATACATGGTAGGCTTGTAAACTTTTTACTAAATTTGTGTTAAAATGGATAAAGATACTGGTTTTTCTTTATCTGTTTATTATTAGATAGTTTATTATGCTAAATACTAGTTGCTGCTCAGCAGCCCAGATTTAGGCAATCAGGAGCTGCCACTGTTGTTATAGTTTCTAAGATAGGGAGTTGAATAGTACATAGACTGCTGTAAAAAGAACATATATGTTAAATAATTTTTTTAAAAAGATTATTTTTTATCAGAATCTTTCAATTTGAATTTTTTTTAATTAGTATAAAAATAATCTTTTATGTATATTTTTTGTTTAAATTTTCTAAAGGAATATCTCAAGTGTAACAATAGGTTGCAAAAGAAATTTGCATTATACTGTATGTGCAATAATCTTTTAAAGCATAGTTATGAATATTATGAATTTTTTAAATTTATACTGTCATTTTTAATTACTTGTAATAGTGTTTAATTTATTTAACTTTTCAATGAAAGCTAATGTCAAATTCAGCTAAATTATTTTCTTTTGCAAAATTTTTTTGAATTCTAAACATCTACATTAGTTCAAAATTTGTATTTAAATTCAAACCATATAGATTTTTGGAAATGACTGTATTATACATATATTATTATTTTTTACTGTTAAAATTTCATATTGTTTTAATTATATTTTAAAATTTTATTTCAGATTCTGTAAATCCATCAGAAAATATCTCAGCAGAAAAAGATGTTAAACTAGAGAATCTGTGTCAAAAGAATGAATATGATTTTTCAGATATGACTATTAATGAACTAAAATTGGATAATACACCAAATGAACAGACTTCTGGTGATAGTACTGTTAAGTTAAACAATGATAAAGATTCTGAACAGAATACTACATTTAACATTCCAAATGTTTCTGATTTTAATGCTTCATGTGATTCATCTGATCATATAACTACTACATTAACAGAAAATATAATTGCAGAATCTTCTGATATCACTGATAGTTTGACAATATCTAACAGTAAAAAAGATGATGACGATGATTCTGTAACTCAAGAAGATAAATCAGAAAGTTCTGTTCTTCAGTCTAACATGGATTCTATTGATAATAAAACTGTTGATTTAAATAATGAAAATTTAATTCATTCCAGGGAAGGAACTTGTCCAAGTTCTTTAACAACAATTATGCCTTCTACTTTAAATTTTAGTGGATCCACATCTGGAGTAACGTCTTTGCTATCTTCCAGCAAGTGTGTCTCAATATCTTCTGACAATCTTGCAAGCAGTAAAGTGACGTTAATTTTTAAAGGAAATATTAACAGTTCTGGTTCAGTTAGTCAGAATCCTTCTTCACCAAGTGTAGTTCTTCCTATCAGTTCATCGAAGACTGTTCCAATTAAACTTGTCACGCTTCCAGGAGGACATTCAGGATTATCTGTTAGATCAACTAGTAATCCTGCAGTTGTAGAGATTATTGGTTCAACACCTGGTTCTTCACATACATCTGCATTGTCAAATTCATCGTCGTCATCATCATCTCCTGTCAGATTAGTTGTTTCAAAAGTTTCTCCTGTAAAAGCTAATGTACCTGCAATGACTCCATCAGGCTCTTCTTCCATGCGCAACATGGCAACAGTTGTTGTTAAATCTGTTGTTGTTACAGGAACTTCTTCATCAATTAAAATTGTGTCAGCAAAAGGTGCTATATGCACTACAACCACTGCCACCAATACAGTAACAACAGTTTCTACTTCTGGTTCTTTTGTGTTAGTACCATCTCCTTCTGTGTCAACTCAGTTATCTACTGACATTAATTCTGGAATCGAAAAATCTATTGTCTCTGTAGGTTCACAGTCCTTAAACAGTCCAGCAGTAGTACCAATTTCTACAGTGAATTCGGATGAACAAGCAGGAGGAAAAAAGGAAAACAAATTAGAGAATCTAACAGATAATGAGCTTTCTACAAATATAAATAAAGTACTTAAAAGTAAAACTTCAGAAGATGTACAAACAGAATTGTCGTTAACTTTAGAGAATAAAATCGAATCTATAAATTCACTGACTGCTGAAGGTGATAGCTGTAATTCAGATGTGATAACTTTACTTGATGATGCAGATAAAGATACAGTAAAATCTGATTCTTCAAATATGTTAGTAGAGAAATCTTTAGAAGATTTTAGAAGCAGTGATAAAGAGTCTACATCAAGTGTGTATATAAATGAATCAGATGTCAAGAGTAATGAGAGTTATAATGAAAATATTTCTAAAGAATTAATTAATAGTTCTTCAATTTTAGAGTCAAAAACTAATGCAGAGTCAGTACAACAGAATGAAACTGCACAAACCTCAAATATTAAAGAATGTGAATCTACTGAAACTAAAGTGAATTGTGACACTGAAAATGCTAATAATGATTGTTGTGAGTCTACCAATGAGGAAAATAAAGAAAATACAAAACTGTGTATTTCTTCTTGTTTAGAGGCTCAAGATAATAATGTTTTAAATGAAAACAAAAGTATAGAAAGTGCTGAAGAAGTAATCCGTCCATTTTCCCAATCAAATGAAGAGCAAGAATCTGAAGAAATTTCTGAACCAACTTGTACGGAAAGTGTTGAAGATAAATCTTCGTTTAAAGAAGAATTACAGACAGAATCGTTTACTTCTCTAGTCTTTTCTAAGCCAACAAAACGGAAATGTTCTGAAAATGCAGCAGAATTGATTAAAGCATGTATGGGTGTTGAAGACAATCCAAAAAGAACATGTGGGGCCAAACAAAAAATTTCTGATGATATTTTGTTAGATGATAAAGAAGAAATTTCAGAAGATAAGCTAGAAATAGAACAGAGCTTACCAAAAAATTCTAAATCAAAGCGTGAAGACATTAACAGAAAATCACGCTGTAAGTATTTAAGTTTATTATTATACTTTTCAAGAGAGAAAAAGTTCCACACATTATATTTATTATACATTTTTATATTAATTAATATTAAAACCAAGATGATCTATTAAGATTTGATTCACCTCTGTTTAAAAATCAGTTATTTTCAATATTTTATTATTAAAAAATTATATTTAATAAAGTTTATTAGTTTTCAGACTAAATTCATATCACTAAATAGCTACCATTTTGTTTCTAAATTTAAACAGTTTTTTTGTCTTTAGTTGATAATTATAGAATTACAATTTGAATCCAAAAATCTTTTATTAATAAAAATATTTTTTTTAAATTGTTTATTAAAAAATTGAAGTATACCAAAATTTAGAATCTAGTGAAATTTATAAAAGTTTTGTATATGCACGATAAAGATTGAATTCAATTTAGAATTTTCATTTTGTTTAAAGTATACCATATTTTTCTGCAGATAACTCAAGATATGTGTTATATAAAAAAAGTTAATTTGAAATCAGATGTAGGTTATACAATGAGCAATTTATCTGCTGATTTTGAAACTTTCAATTTATTATGAAGTACTTAGAGACTGATCAAAGAAAAACTGTTTTAAGTATGTCTTTAGAAAATTATGAAAACTTTATGCATTGAAACATTTATCATAAAAAAAATTAATATATTTCTTTTGAATTAAATACTAGTTGATCGTAATTAAAATACCTCTATTTAGTACTGTTTAGAGAAAGATTTTGTAGTCCAAATGTAAACATTGATCATTCTGAGTAGATGAAAAAAAGTTTTAAAAATAAGAGAGCACATAGAAAATTATTTTGTAATAGGTTATAAATTCATAAACTAGTTTATAAATTTTCTCAATTAATAGGTCATTACATTTATCCATGTCTGTTTTCACAAAGCAGATTTTCTATTTGCAAGTTCAAATTTAATTTATCATCTATTTTAAGTGAAGATATTTAATATTGGTTACTTGTTTTAACTGAATTTTTATAGATATTACATTATATCTTAATTATTTTTGAGGAGTGTTCTTATTTATGTAAACTGTATAGTTGCATTTTTCTTTATTTATCATCAGACCATTAATTTTTGTGTAAATTTGAATTTTTTTTTTTAACTATTCAGATGTTTAGATCAGACGTAATAGTATTTATATTGTTAGCATAAAATTGTAAGCAAGCAGGAACAGTATTTATGAATATATTGTTTATAAATAAATTAAATAACATAGGGGCTAATATAGAACATTGAGTTAATCCGTTGGATATAGCACACAAGTTAGATGTTCCATTATCTATTCTAATTGTGTAACTTTTGATTATCTAAATAACTTAATAGCCAATCCAATGAATTATCATAAAAACTATGATTTTTTAAAATTTTTTTAGTAGTTTTACAAGTAGATTTATTGAGTTGTATGCTTTGGATCAGTGGTTTTCAAAGTTATCAATTTGTGGACTAATAATGATACCATCCATTTCTTATCTTGTAAATATTGCCTTACACAAAACATTTTGGCACACAATCATTATCTATCTAGTAACCTAATGCAACAGATATGTGATGCATGAAAATGTCCTTTTCTCTTGCTAAACAGCAAAAAATTGCATTCTAGAAAAATGACTAGGTCAGTCTGCAGACCATTTGATATGTCCTTTCAGTTTCTAGGATAAATCTACCTTGACAATTATAAAAATCCATGAAAACTTCAGTTCTCATATTTTATTTTATTATAGTTATTTTTATACTTTTGTTTTGTCAGATTTGCAGGTAATCTTTTAATTACCTTTCAGAAAGCATCAGAATTCTGAAATTTTCCAAATTTATATTTATAATAATTCATTTTCAGTCTTTTATATCATTCCATATTTCTGCTAGATTTTTTTTAGTTGATTTGTGATTTCTGTAGTATCTTTCTATTTAAATTTTTTTTTTTTTTGTTAATCTTAGAAATACTGTTCAAATTATAATAATAACAATCTTAAATGGTGTTTCCATGATTTGTGCTGTTTTCTTTTGTTATATATGAGAGAGAAATATTTAACTATACGAGATTGCCTGCAATTTTACAACTCATATTTGATCAACCATAACTTTTTCATTAATCAAGATAGAATTGCTATTATTTTCTAGATGTCAGTTAGCTCATAAATGAGATCAGTAATTGTCAGGTATGCCAGAAAAAATGATGGAGCCATGGCTTGCTTTGCAACAATGAGTACAATGTGTTAATTTGTTTTTGATTGCAAAAAAAATTTTGGATGTTTTGTCATTGGATGAAATAGTTTATTTGGAGGTTCAACACAGCAAGAAAGACTGTATTAACAATAAATAACCTCTTTGACATATTGAGAAACAATTGAATAACCCTAAATTAGTTATCCCTGCAAAAATTATGGGAGTTTTAAACTAATTGTATTAAATTCCTGAATGATCACATTCAATGCAATTAGTGTTGAGCTCTGCTAAGAGGCATGTAAAGCTGCTTCACTTCATTTTCAGGTGCAATGCCTGCAAATGAAATGAAACATCTTTCTATGCCTTTCAGCCTGAGTATATCAATCATGATGACACTCAGGTTGACTTTTTAATGAAACAATGTAGAGAGTATTTTAGAATGCAAATTACTTACTGTTCTTTCATTGCAAAGTTATAATCAATTAAAAGGTAAGCTGTGAATTACAGGACACCTTGTAGAATTTCTTAATTATTGAAAAAAATGCATTTAGTTTCATGTACAGTACAGTACATTTGAATTTTCATAAATGCCATTCCATAACAGTGTGTGTTGAATAAATAATATAAAAGAGGTTATCTTTTGTTATGAAGGGTTATTTTTTATCATCAATATCAACATCTGAAACATGATAGTTTTATATTAAAGCCAAAAGATTGCTGTATTATATCGGGTTATATTATTACTATTATTAATAATTAAATGCTAAGTAATTTGGCATTGGAGGTAGGCATTAGGTACCATCTCTTGCTAAATTTAATAATTAAAATTGAAATATTAATTTAATTTTAATTATTAAATTGTAGGCAATTGTTTGGCTTATTATAGCTGTTATTATTTTGGTAATCTATATTGTTATGATGTATTAAACTAGCCACTAACTACTTTTGTTATCTTTTAAATTATTTATTTTTTGTGATATACAGTAGCTCCTCGTTATATCATGCTTGTAGAGAGACAAAGAAAACTGACAATATAATAGATGGCACAATATCTATCCATTATTAACTAAAGTGCTTTTATATTCGGATATATCACATTTTATATGTAAAGAAATAAGAATAATGATGATGATGTATCCAAATGAGTGATATAACAAGGGCACTTTTTTATGATTTTTTAGAGTACCCTTTTATCTATAAAAAGAAGTAATCAAATTAAATATGTAATATGTCTCAGTTTGGAAAATGTTTGTCTATTTAGTGAAGTTATACTTTCATTATATCGGCAAATGTTTTCGATACCCCTCCTGGGCTCTTCTTCAGGCTTATTTTTATATCTTCCATTAATTTGAATGTTTTTAAAAACATTCAAATTAAAGAATCCAATTTCAACAGAAGATATATTTCATTATATATTTTTTATTACTGATTTCACAGATATTTAACTTTTTCTTTTTTAGCAAGATTTATTAATAGATAATGATTTCCAAAAAAAGTTCAATAATAAAAGTTTACAGATTGTCTACCTACAAAATTAGAAAAAATGAAATTGTCAAAAAACTTGTTCAGCTATTATCAAATAATGAAAAAATTGAAATTCAAACAATTATTAATTTTTTCTTCAGTAATTTTACCTATAAATTTACTCTTTCAACTTAATTTTATTTCCAAAATTCTCTGATTTTTTTTCCATTCTTATTAAATAATTGTCTAGTTTAAAGACAAAATTTGCCCAAACAGGGACCACCATTTTTAATTCTGTGTTTAAGTCAATACAATCCTGGTGACTGACCTACCTTTTTAGGCTACTAGCTGCCAAAAAACTAAAAAGTCCTTTTAAAAGACACAAATTTTCCAATTAAAAACTATGCAATTTTTCTAAAATAGGAATTGGTGACATACGAACGTCTTCTTGAAACCATCTAACCTTCTTGGGGTGTTTTGGCTTTATATCCACAAAGTAGTAAGCACTGGAAAATGTAGATTTTGGAATTGTTTCGTCTGATGGTTATTTTCATATTTAATAGTTTAAAGACAAAATTCACTCTGTTTGGGCAAATTTTGTCTATAAACTATTAAATATGAAAAGAACCATCAGATGAAAAGAAATTACAAAATTAATTGAACTTCATTGATAATTGTTTTGTGAAGACAGACAAAATTTAGAAAAAAATTAACTAATTCATGTACTATTTTATTGTTAATAATTTCTTCTAAGCTTAAAAATGTTGAGGGATTAACCTATTTAGAAGTTTCTTTATCACATGAAAACTTTTCAAAAAAAGATATTCAGGCAAGAATTTAAATTTATCATATTTCTTGTGATTGTATTAATTGATATTGTTTTATAAATTCCTATATTTTTCTAACTTCTTTTGTTCATTTTGCTTAGTTTTAAAAAATTAATTTTATTATTTCTTCACAATCAAAATGAAAATGTTAGAAGATGAAGAGTGCTAATTAAAATTCTTTAATTAATTATTTAAAGTAATATTTTGATTCAATTCTAATAAACCCCCCTAGAAGAGGTCAAAAGAATGACGAAATGGAAAAATCCAGATGGCTTATTTCATTCAATTTCCTAACTGATAAGACAATTGAAAGTTGGTTTAATTTAAACAATTATTACTAAGGTTGCAATACAAATCATGACCTTAGTCACCCTCAGCTATTAATTTAGGTTGTTTGACAGCTGTTATCAATTTTATGAGGTAGAATGAGTAACAATACTGGATAGAAGAGATAACAAATTTATTGAAACATTAGATTTCTGACAATTAGCATAAACAAACTCTAGACTGAGATCGAACTTAAAATGGGTTACATCATACATAACATTAGTCAGCTTGTTTGAAAACGGGTATAAAAAGGGCTTGGACACAATTCTCCAGGCGGACCTTACGAGACGCCATATAGAACACTACCCACCAATACCTACCTTGTCGCATTCAACCTCTCCCCAATGCTTAACCTTAGATCACTGATTGTCCAGCATACTAGAAGGTATGAAGAATCATTGAGAGGTATTTTATTTTATTAGATATATGTAAACTCTCTCTCCGCACCGAGATTTGGACCTAGATTAGCAGACACGTGTATCGTGACTTGCATAAGTAATCTTTGCCACTCGGTTTATATCTTTTCATCTTTTAATCGCATATAATCACCATATTTAGCCATAACTTCGTAACCTTATGTATCCTAGTTTAAGTTTATATTAAATTTGTTGTTTTGTTGAACCTGTGGACCTGTCTATAATTCTTTAACAGACACCTTGTCGACTTATTCACCAACCCTTCTCACTACACTAATTACCCTCCTACGGCCATCCCCTGACTCAGAAGCTGATAAGTGGGGTTGAGCTTGCAGCTTAATGCAGTGATTCCCAAACTTTTTTGATTCTAGGCGCCCTTACTAAATGCAGATTTTCCCAAGGCACCCTATGTCAAATTCTAAACATTTTGTGGTGCCCGTGAGGAAGCTGCAGCACATACTTTGGGAATCTCAATATCTTATTTGTCTGACCATTATAATCCTTCAGGTTTCTGCTATATAAACAGGCTCATCTTCCATTGAACCAATTGTAAATAAGTTACTAACATGATGAATTAGTCTGTTGTTCCAGTATTATATTGAAACAGTTCATACTATTTTCACACTGCCATCAATGGTTACTAATACCAATTATGATAGATAATCATTCATTGTCGTCAAAGATTCAAATTCACTTTCACATTGTATTGATATTTTTTGAGTAGGGCATGCATATATTATATACATTCAAAACATCAATGTTAGAAAGTAGTGATTAATGGTAAAATAAATATATTATTAAGTTTAGTGATGTGCCGAATATCCAAGGGAAAAAAAAGGTCAGTATTTATATCCGTATCCGTTACTTTTTAGCAGATCTTTAACGGATCTTTTATCTTAATGAATTTTATTACTTATATGAAATTTTAAAGATAGGTAGCGATAAAATACTAATAACTTCAATTCAAATCACTTTTTATTTCTTAAAATTACATATTTGGCACATTCACATTGCAAAAATTTTATCATGCAAAATTCATTTACTATTGTAAAATATTTCCATATTACACTACTAAACTTTTTTGTCGATATAGTTTTTATTTTAATTTAACTCAACACTCTCCAAAAATACAAATGTAATCTACGCCATTCCATGTCACACTAAACTATAAACAAAAACATGCGCAGTGCAAGTCAAAACACGTCGTGTTACTAATGCAAAGCATCAACTATCGGTCCAAGGTCACACGCACCGGTGCCGACTGAGTACGAGAGTTGAGATCCGTATCCGTGGATATACATTTTTAACGATCTGGCACATCACTAATTAAGTTTCAGACAACTAGTTAAATTACCTTTTATTGCATGCCTAAAAGTAAATATATATATTTCTTACAGATAAAGTTAAGTTTTGAAACTGTATTCAATAATAGTTGTAATTATATAAATAATGTAAAAAGAAAATGTATTTCATAATTTTTCAAATATTTTGTTTCTCTGTTGATCTTATTGTTTTTTGTAAAATTTTCTACTTGAAATCATAAATTCATTAATTTATGGTAGAATATAAACATCATGTAAAAATGTCTAAATTTAATTTGCTATCTTATTATTTAACATCACTTTCTCTATTCTAAGAATTAGCTATTTGTTGTTGCTAGTTCTGCTCAACTAATTATATATTAAATTTATTAATGGATGATTAGAAAGATTTGTTTTTACTTGGGACCTAGTTCTGTCATTATCATCTTATTTTGAAGCAGTAATGATTCTATTCTAGTTACTTTCATCTGTTATACAGGATGATTTATGAAATTTTATTTGCAGTTAACAGGTAAATTCCTAAGGACTTTTTGTTTTTGCTAAAAATGTCACATGAATACAATTCTTACGTTTTTGCATTTTAAAAAATCTAAAACTATTATGTGGTGTTACTTACTAAAGCTTGACTTGTAGCTGATCTAATTCCCATATTTTTTGGATGGGGATGGATAAAATATCTTGTTTTTTGCATATTTGTCACATAAACAAGAGAAATGTATTTTATGAATACTGTATATGCTTGCTTTATAATTGCTATTGCCCTACTGAAGAGATTTTTCTTTGCACTTCAAACATAGTGCAACTCTTGTGGTTTCATTAATAAATAACTTTCAAGCATTTGATTTTGTATTTTTTTCATGGATTTTTTTATACTGTTCAAACTATTATTTCCATCTTAAGTTACTATTGCTAGTTGAATTCTAAGTGTTTAGAATTGGATCCATGTTCACACTCAAAATGTACCCAACAATGTGTTTTTACTATGGATAAACTGTATAATCATATTAACTCTATCCTTATGATCAATATCTTCAGAATATGGAAAGTATATTCAAAAATTTTGAATATAAATTTAGTTTATATTGGTGCCAAAACAGTAAATAATTTAATATTGCCAAATGAAATATATATACATATGTGTAAAGTCAGCAAAAAAATCAGAGGTAACTTTTCCTAAGTAGCCATCTGAAGGAAGCAAGAAGTAATGTGATACAATGCACCTTATGAAAAGGGGTGCAAGGTATTTTTAGGACCCAAAATTTTTTTCCAAACTAATTTGAGGTGGAGAGCATATATTTTAAATTAAATAAATTAAGAATATGCTTAAAAATTTCAGCCTGGCATTTTGTAAATAAATTTATTTACAAAATGAGCAGTTAATTTTATTTAACTTTATTATAATTTATACTAAATAGAAATTTCAATTGCCTATTAATCCTTAACTCTGTAAATTACACTGTGTTGATCCTGAAAATCATTAATATGAAGTTTCAATAAAGCAAACTAATTACTGTTTCCCTAGCAATTTGTATTAATGCGAGTTGACTGTGTAGTTAATAGGGGGCCTCCTGTCCCTAAGCTTGACTTTCATCTGTCTAACACCATTCTCAAGGAAGGACAGACAACTGTAGGAATTCATAGGTCTAAAATTTTTTCAAATTGCAGCCTAAAAAATGATCAAGTAAATGAATTGTAAAAATTCATTATTACATTACATATATAAAAATATTTTGTTCAATATCCAACATATGTGATTTAAAATGTGAAGAGATAATTTGTTTATTTAGTGATAGGAAAGGATGTAATAACTTCAGTATATGTTTACTTGTTTTGAATTCAGTGTTATCCCTTTCTTCAGTTTTAATTGGTTTGTGTCATTTGTAATATACACAGTTATAAAATTAATTTTACAGAATTTTAATTCTAAAAAGTAGTGAATCTAAAACTTATTTCTTGAATTATGTACTTACCAGAAAAAAAAGAGAGATACTATTTTAAATTTTCAGTATGTAGTGAGAAGAGGCACAATATATCAAAATGATAAAGGTCACTGGCATGAATGAGAGAAATGAAGATGCTGGAAAATAAGAAATTACAATTTATTAGTCATGCCTAACAGAAAATTAAAAGTTTGAACAAAAAAAATCTGCATATTGAGTATTTGTTAATTCAGTATATTAAAGTAATAATCTTTAACTATTGATTAAATAACAAAGTAATTTTTATATGGCATTAATAGTAATTCAAAATGCATTATTTTTAAAAATATTTTCATTGTTTATTGCTAAGTTTTTATTTTTAATTATAAAATAGCACAGAGAGGTTCAAGCGAAGATGAAATGAGTTTAAGTGAACTTGCTAGTAAGTCACGTGCCAAAACTCGGCCAAATGGAGAAGACCATGCAATTGTTACACCGACAAGAATGAGAAACAGTACCAAGGACTCAGAGAAAGATGAAATAGGAAATATTCGAACAGGGGGCAGACGTTCTGGATCTAATGAGTCCAGAAAGAGTGATGACACAAAAGGTCGTACTTCTTATCGAGATGGTAGAAGAGATGGAAAGAAAATTGTACAAGAAGGTAATAAAATTTTAATTTGTTTTAGTATAGATTATCATTAATATAAATTTTTAACAGTTTTTGTATTTAGAGATTATTTATATGAAGTATATTCAAATTACATCAATTGTATGTTTTCAAAATATGAAAAAGTTTATCATGTCTACACATTTCTATTTAAAGTACTGATGTGTAATGTAAATAAATAATAAAGATAATCCAGTTTTTCAATTTGTTATTGGAATATATTTGCATTTTTACAAAATGGCTACTTTATCTGGGTTGTTTGTAACTAGTCAATGTAAAATGAATCATATATTACTGTCTGATATAATGATACATGCTGCTTGTAGTTGTTTATTGAGAAATATTATAGGAGAGCAATTATTGTTAGTGGGACACGTCATTATGTGGTATTATAGAAACAAATGAGCAAGATTTTTCTATACATATTTGTGCTGTGTTAAAAAAACATCAGCTTTGACATCTGTCTCATCAGGGCCGGATTTACAAATAAGCTATGTAAGCTGTTGCTTAGGGGCTCAAGTTCCAAGGGGCCTCAAAAATTTCTACAAAGAAAATTGAAGTCAAATTTTGTAATAAAAATGTTTTTACAAACCAACAAAATATACTTTACTTTTTATTTTCTGTAGTATTTAATCAATATGTTTATGTTAATTCTTTTCTTTTTATGATTGACTTCTAAAATTCTGAAGGGTTGATAAGGAACTTCACATAGAGTTCAGCTTAGAGCATTAATCTGGCCTTGTGTCCTACACAAAATTACTGACATTTTAAACTTTAAAATTAACAGCATAACTTGTTCATGTAAAGGATTTTTCCTTAAAGCTGGACAATCAGGAAACTTTTTTCTTTTGCAATTCTTAACAGTCAAATCCACTGTTTCTATTGGTTATATTTATGAGCTTCTCCAAATTTTGATTTCCAAATAATCATCTGTTTTTCATGTAGGAATAGACAGAAACTTATATTGGGCTCCCATATGGCTTTGAAATTGCAATTTGGAATGCAACAGAAAGCTTTGCTTTTTCTATTGCTATTTATCTTTACTGTTGACATTACACAAGAATGATTCAAATGACCCAGATAAAATAGTTTTGTCTTTAAACACCAGAAGGAGAGCATCTGGTGAAAAATGCAAATAGCAGAATCCACTGGCAGCAATTGTGGATAATATTATCAGAATTAGAAAGTTTTAAAGTTTATTTATTAGAAGATGATAAAGCTTTTATAGTGTGAAAATACAGCTTAAAAAATATCAGCCTCGACATATAGCTAATAATGTACAGTCATTATCAGTTTTAATCAGTGTTTTAAAAGTTAAATATTTATAATTTTAATTGTTATTTACTCATTCTGGTACAGTAGTTTAAATTGCTTGTTTCTTCAGTTATATGCTAGCTGTTGTTAAAGATATTTATTATTATTTGTTTAAAGTACTATTAAAATACCTGCTAATTAATTAGTCTAAATTAATTAATTAATAATGAATATTCAAATGATACCATGTGTTCTTTTAATGTTATCAGCTGGTTATCATCATCATAGTTGAGTCCCAAAGTGATTGTAATAACAAATTTCACATGCAGTAGAATCTGCTTAACTTTGATTCAAGAATTAAAGATTAACATCAGGGAAAATGAAAAAGATAAAATAAGATATATATTCTATAATTCTTATATAACAGCAAAAATATTTAGCAATATAATATTGGGAAGGACATGAAATAAGTATAAATTAATAGTATAATTTCTATTTTTAACTAAATTAGTTAATAAATCATGAAAAAAAGATATTGAAGGTAAAAGTGAAGACAGCTGTATGATTTCTTAAAAATCTACACACAACCTTGAATTAATTTTATTTGTGTATTTTTGATATATAATTAGTTTTGAATTAATAACATTAGAAAATAATTATTATTTAAGTGCTATTTTGGCCAAGTTTTAAATTTTACAACAGCAAAACTAATGATAAAAATACTTTAAAATCTTTTTTATTTTTGGCTCTTTCCACTCTATAGCACTAGAGAGGTTGAGGCGGACGTTTTAAACGTGTAAACGTGTAGGTGTGACGTTCGGCGCCGCTTTCCCGTAAGCCTAAAAGTTTGACAATGGTGTTTGGATAGTCGGTGAAATCACGCTCGACATTCCAAACACCATCGTCAAACTTTTAGGCTTACGGGAAAGCGGCGCCGAACGTCACACGTACACGTTTACACGTTTAAAACGTGCGCCTCAACCTCTCTACTAAGAGAACTTTTTTCCACACACATCATAAATTTAGCCAGTTCCAGAATGGAACAACCAGGTGGTGAGGGATTTGGCCTGGTGTAGCCAGACTTAACTGAAAAAAAATTCCCAGGTTATTTGCTGGAATTTGAACCTGGGTTTCCAGAGCAGTAGGCTGATGCCTTAACCACCTCAGTCATCTGGCCCTGTAACATCATCTGTTTAGAACAGGGGTCGGCAAACTTTTTTAGGAAAAAGCCAGATTGTAAAAAAAAAAATTGGGTTTGGCCAGCCAGGTTGCAAACTTGAATAGGTATATTTTTTTAATAGATACTGCTACTCAACCTTTTCTTCTTCTTCTTTTTGCTTTACTTTTATTAGGAAGTGATATTTTTACCTACATAATTGCTGATACTTAAACAAATAAAATTATTATTATGAACTTATTATAGAATGGTGAAAATTTGTACTAATGTGAAGAATGAAATTGTTTCTTCTCAGACAATATTTCATCTTACTGGACTTCCAAGTTAGTAATTACTATCATGCCCATAGACCGTAGTTTGCCAACCCCTGGTTTAGAATGTTAACAATTAATAATTTTAAATTTTGGTATTTCTGAAAATGTTGTTTACAGTGGTATTCAAATTCACAACTCTCACATCATACATAAACATGTCAAGTTGATCCAAAACTGTAACTCTCATCTATATATATATATATATATATATAAATGGACATATATGTCCCTATATTTCACTTTTTCGCCAAAACTACACATCGCACGTGAATGGTGTTTGTATGTGGTGGTAGCCCCAAGTCTCCATTCGTGCACAGGGGTGGTTGCGTCTCGATAGCTATAAGGGTGCGGGAGATATGGGCTTGAAAGTGGTTGAAAGTGGCTTTCTATTTCGAATGTTTTGTTCGAATTTGTTCGAATTAAATTCGAACATAAAATTCGAATATTGGTTCGATTATAGAACGATTGTAAACGTTCCAGAAACGTTGAAAATAGTT